CACCACAACATGAGGAACTGTATTAAAGGGTCATGGCATTAGGAAGGTTGAGACCCACTGCTATAGATGTTGCTAACTGGAATACACATTAAAAAACATATCTTGCCCATATTTAAAGAGATGGCAGCTCTTTCTGAACACCATGTAAAGTCTTATTCATTTCTACCCAGTTCATCCTTACTTGAGATCTGGATATTTGAGAAGAACCTTCTCCCTTAGAAGCCTGTCAAACCTTCTGAAGCCCACTTTAAGGGTCTTGCCCTTACATGAAATTAAGCTCTTCTCAGTTGTGACACCTCTTATATAAAGCTGCTCTAGATGTAATTTTGATAAGTTTTTGCTACTAAGCAGAACAGCCATTTTTTCTTTTGTTGTTGGCTCTGCAGTCCTTCATGGACTTTTTTTTGGGCCTCGCTTTAAAATTAATCTTATTTATGAATTTCTATAAAACATAGCAGAGCCTTCAGAGCTTTGCATTTGAACCTTACATTATAAACATATCAATACAAACATTTTATTCACTTATTTATATGACCTCAATCACTGGGTAATTCTATGTGGCTTATGCCACAGAGTTAAAAATACTGGAAAAATAACAACTAACAACAAATAGTGGAGTCCAGAAGAGTAAATAGTACACATTGGTAAGGGGACAACTCAAACACCTATCCCACCAAAAACTACTACTTGGGAGAACGTCCCTATCCCAGGACCTGCAAAATGAAGAGATCTTTGTGGAAACACAAAAGGATCAACTTCATCCAGTGTCAGGTCTGCAGCCATCTTTCCTTTTGGATCTTTGGCCTGCCACACTTTCTATTATTCTACTATGCCTTTTCTATTGTGGGAAAATGGGAGGGGGAGTTAGATGCTATGTAGCCAAAACAAAATTCCTTCTAAGAGCCAAGGTGGCGCAGTGGTTAAATGCAGCACTGCAGGCTACTGCTAGATCAGCAGGTCAGCGGTTCAAATCTCACCAGCTCAGGGTTGACTCAGCCTTCCATCCTTCCGAGGTGGGTAAAATGAGGACCCAGATTGTTGGGGGCAATATGCTGACTCTCTGTAAACCGCTTAGAGAGGCCTGAAAGGCCTATGAAGCGGTATATAAGTCTACTGCTATTGCTATTCTAGAAAGCCAAGGTCATCCTTTGTCTCTGCACCTCTGTACCTGACCGGAACTGGATGGGTGGAACTGCCAACATGGCAGTGGGAGATTGGACCATGTGATGGACTTATGGGTATGGGGGCAAGATCTTGAACTTTCAACTGGGTGGGTGGGTGGGTGGGGAACTCCGATTTACTTTTGGATGCTATTTGAGACCCTGACACACAGAATACAGGGAACAAACCATTCCACAGGATAGGCATGGCTCTCAATCTTTACTGAGACCTAAAAAATGACAAGGCTTGAAAGCCAAGACCTGGAGCATGCCAACTTTTCCAGATGTTACCAGTCAGGCAGAAACAATATGAAAAAGATATTCTTGTGGATAACCAGGATTCAAACCATGAAAGGCTTTATACGGTAGATGACATCAGTCCTGTGAATTGTATCAGACAGCCCATCATTAACCCAATGCAGCTCACAGAGCAATGGTACCTATAAAATCTGTGCACCCTGAACCAGTAACTTCTAAGTGGTCTTCAAGAGTAACACCAAGTTCAGCATTATAATTATCTAAACGGGACGTAATTAGGAGATGAATAGCTATCTACTAGACCCCCCTCACATCCTGGACATAAATTGCTTCAACCTCTACCCTCAAAAGGACACTATAGGACTCTGCACACCAGAACTAGACACAAGGACAGTTTTGCCCCCCCAAATGCCATCACTCTGCTAAACAACTAATTCCCACAACACTGCCAAACTATTTACTAAGACTGTATTACTATTCTTCTTCTCATCCTTCCTAGTACCTACCTCTTCCCACTTATGATTATAATCATGTTGCTTGTATCTTTACAATTTATATGGTTTTGTTTGTTTCCTAGTATGATTTGATTACTTATTAGTAACCTATTCTATTCTATTCTATTCTATTCTATTCTATTCTATAAGAACCGCCTCCCAATCCAAGCAAAGACATAGTCAGCATACAAGATGGATCCCTACAAACAACTCACAGCTGCTCATTGAGCAGGAAGACAGTGGTAAAAAGCAGGTCCTTGAAACTAAAGCCAGTTTAGGCTCTATAGGGTTAGGCTTTAAGCCTGTTCCCATCTCCACCCCTCATCTCCACCCTCACAGCATCTAAGCCCCAGGACAGGACAGCAACATTGTTTAACCCAAGACTGAAATGTAAAGCAGGGCATCATCTGATGTTATGCCAGCACATGACCTTGCCCAGTGGCCTGTTGAAAAAACAGATTAACAGTTCATTACAGCCTGTGGCCCGGAACTATTGTTCATGGTGACCTAAAGGAAGTGTCAAAGCTGTGTTGAACCATGCAGAAATTTATTTTCTCCATGCTTCGGGGTTTCATTGGACTGAGAGTGATCTCCTTGGGGAGAATCTTTGCTAAATAGAAATCTGCACCATTCATAAATAATCCAACAGCAAAAAAAGTGTGGCCTGCTAAATGCTTGGCACCCCCAATGCTCAGATTCAGCTGGCATTAAAAGCTGGAGGCTCGCTGAGATGGGTTTTTTTTTTTTAAGTAAGCCACCATTTGAAAACTCCCATCATCTCCCATCAATCATCTGTAGTGTAAAGCCTAGGCAGGAATGTCAAACTGGCAGCCCGGATGTGTGACGTGCAGGTCACAACCACCCCAGCTCCGTGATGGGGAGAAAAATATCATACATCACATGACAGCAATATGATGTCGCGAGTTTGACACCCATGGCCTAGAGCCGCGATGGTGAATCTATGACACATGTGCCAGAGGTGGAACGCAAACCCCTCTCTGCTGGCATGCATGCCGTCACCCCAGGTCAGATCTCCGTGGTGTTTCTTTTGTGAGCTTCTCTTTTCCTACAAATGGTGAAACAGAAGCACACAAAAGAAAAAGATCTTACCTCTTGCCATGCTACCGGTGTGGGGATGCCCAACCTCCCGCCGGCCAGCTGTCTTCAGGTCTCTGCTGCACATGCTTGCATATCTGTGTGTGTGCATGTTTGTGCATGCATACACACACTCACACATGTCTGCATATACGCACATGTGTGCACATTCACACACACACGCCTTTCAATTTGGGCAGCAGTGGTGGGTTTCAAAAAATTTTAGAACCTCTTCTGTAGGTGTGGACTGCTTTGTGGGAGTGGCTTGCCGGCCATGTGACTGGATGGGAGTGGCTTGCCAGCCATGTGACTGGGTGGGAGTGCCTTGCCAGCCATGTGACTGGGTGGGCATGGCCAACTTGTAAAATGTGGTGAAACTCACTTAACAACGCTCTTGCTTAGCAACCAAAATGTTGGCTCAGAAACTCTGGCATTGAATTGTGCAAGTCTTAAAGCTGTCACGTTACAAGACCCTTGCACCCCTAACCCTTTAGGAAAAAAAAACCAGGAGTGTTCAAACTTGACAGCTTTAAGACTTGTGGACTTCAACTCCCAGAATTCCTCCTCTCGCTCTTCATCTTGATGATGTGCGAACGGGTGGGGGGAGGGAGCTGGAACCGGTTCTAAACAGCACGGTAGATTTGTGGAACCTCTTCTATAGAAGAGGTTAGAACTGGCGGGGACCCATCCCTGTTGGGCATGCACGTTTGGGCATTCAGTGTCTAAAAGGTTCCCCATCACTGTCCTAAAGGGTGAGGAAGGGAGTTAACTGCAGTACATCAGTGAACCGATTGCATATAGAGCCGTTTTGGCACAGTGGTTAGAATGCAGTATTGCAGGCTAATTCTGTATTTCCACTGCCAAGAGTTTGACCCTGATGGGCTCAAAGATGACTCAGCCTTCCATCCTTCCATGGTCAGTAAAATGAAGATCCAGATTGTTGGAGGCAAAAGGCTGACTCTGCAAACCACTTAGAGAGGGCTGTAAAAGCACTATGAAGTAGTTATATAGGTCTACGCTATATAGCAATAGTTATTGCTAAGTGCTATTGCTATATAGAGGATATTCATGCATTAAGTTTCGAATATAACTATTTGTGCTACAGCATTTTCCAGCTGCTGGGTGTCCTGTTTCATGATGCAGAGGGTTATAATCAACTTCCTCTATCTCTAAATAAATAAATAATTTTCAACAGCCAACATGCTAAATATCATCAACCTGGCTTGTTCTATGTCCCCTTGGGCTGCTACTCTTGTCAGCAATTAGGACAGTTTGTTCATTTGCATATTTGCCTGGTCTCCTAGATCACTTCAGTACATGACTGACTTGTATCCCTAATATACATTGACACGGTTAAAACCATAACCACAGTAAGGACAATATTTATTTCAAATCATACTGTGCCAAGGAACAATGGCCTAGGACAGTGATGGTGAACCTATGGCATATGTGCCACAGGTGGCATGCAGAGCCACATATGCTGGCACTCCAGCCATCAGCTCCAGCATGCAAGTGCATGCCCACCAACTGATTTTCAGCCTTCCAGAGGACTGGGGGAGACCATTTTCACCCCAGGCTTCAGGAAAGCCTCCGGAGCCTGCTGATGGCAAAAAACAGCCCCAACAGGCCAACCGGAAGTTTGGAAATGATTCATTTCCGGTTTCAAGAGGGCCTCCGGCGTGCCAGGGGAGGCCATTTTCACCCTCCCCAGGCTTCAGGAAAGCCTCCGGAGCCTGGGGAGGGGTCGTGTCTGCATGCACAGGTGGGTGGGGAGGATTGAATTGGTGTGGGCATGCATGTATGCGCAATAGTGCATGCACGCACAATTGTGGCATGCCATAAGAAAAAGCCATCACTGGCCTAGAATACGTAAGCCCTGAGAGATTTTGAAGATAACAGCCGCCACATAGAACTTCTTGCGGCACTAGCAGTAGTCCCAAACATAATTTAGAGTTCATGAGGACTAGGTTATTAGGAAGTCTTGTGAACTTACCATCTGGGTTGAAACTAATGTCCTCATTTATACCAATGACCTTTCTCCTGGGGCTGAAGGGAGGAGCGTGATCTGGGAAGCTTTCAAGGATAACTTCACCCTCTGGGTAGACAGGAAAGGGTTCTGGGTTTAAAGGGGAGCCTCTCTTATCTTCTTGAGGCGGTAGGGCACCGTCATTGCCAGGGCGTCTCAACAAGGTGGCAGTAACCGCCTCAATTGGGCTCTCATACACGGTAGATAAGAACAGAGTCCCTTCTTCAGAAGATGGTGCAGACGGTGCTTCCTCTAGTGGGAATAAGGAGATAGAATCCAGGACAGAATAAGATGGAGGATGTCTAGATGCCGGGTAATGAAGTGCAGATTCCAGATCAAATTCCTCTTCAGCACCAGAAGGCCTTAGCTTGCTATGATCTTCTAATTCACCGTGGAGATTTGGTCCAGTGCTGGCTCCCATTTCAGGAGCCAGCTTTGTGGGGCTTACAGGCAAGTACTCAAAGTCATCTTCAGTCCCATCATAGAAGGGATCTGCATAATCAAGTGTTAAGTCAGGGTATTCAGACTCCGAAGCACTGTGATATACAGAGCTGCTCTCTGGGTTTCTTGGAGGGGGAGAAAGCTTCCCACCCACTCCAGCTGGGACCACGTTATCCAATGGGGAGGTGCTGCCAATGTGGAAGGCCCATAGACCTGGGATCCCTGCATTGCTGATCCTGCATGAAGACAGAATAAAAGTTAGATCCAGACATGGCATGAACTAATTAAATTTACTAAAATAAATAATACCAGCTTTCCTCGCCCATTAAAAAAAAGAGAGGAATATAGTACTGGGGTTCTGTCTAATCTTTTTTTCCAGAGGTGGAAAGGGAGAGTTCCAAATATAGTCCTCTTCCTAGCATGAAAAAAAAAACATTATACTTTATGGATTGGCAATGCACACTGAAATAGAAAGGCAGCAGGCACACCAGAGGTGGATTGCTGCCGGTTCACTTTGATTCGGGTGAACTGGTCGTGGTATTTTGGCCTTGGTCTCCCAAACTGGCAGCGACCCAGGCTGGCCACGCCCCTAAACCAGTTCTTAAAAAAAGGATAAAGTTTACCCCTCAGTTATTTTTGTTAGGTATAAT